AATATTTTTCCGGTAGTGTCCAGAGGAATAATCAAGCATTGGGGAATGAATACTTGTGGATATCATATACCGTAAACATGGAAAATAGCAGCAACCAGCTTACAAAGGATTTGATCTCAAAGTACCAGATGGCAGCTGCTACTCTTGAGATAATTGTTGAGGGAGAGGGAGAGACTAGTTCAGATGGAATTATGGTAAAAGGAGAATAAGAGCCACAAAGCCTATGGAATACTTTGGAAAGCTCTTATGGGGGAAAAGGAAAATGTATCAGAGAAACAGATGGCAGCCCTGTAGAATCCACAGGCTGACCATTGGACATTCTGTTGTTGTTTTATTAGCAGATACAATGAATTGTCATTCTGGTATCTCAGGCAAGAAAGACTGGTACATAATAAATCAAGACATTTGTATATTGAAGTAACAACTACTTAGGCCTCCCTAAGGGAAGAGATCTTTATTCTTTTTTATAGAGGAGTGCAGACCAGATGCCCACTCATACTACAGAATCATAGCATTCAATAATCTATATATATATATATATAAATGCTCTGTGCATAATGAGTACCTTAAAAACAAAACGACCAATGAACGAAATCACACCAAATTTGGCAACAAAACCGTCTCACAACACAAGGAGTGACCATCACTCAAAAACTTATGATTTTGTCATTTGGGAGTTGTAGTTGCTGGGATTTATAGTTCACTTACAATCAAAGAGCATTCTGGACTCCATCAACAATGGAATTGAACCAAACATGGCACACAGAACTCCCATGACCAACAGAAGGGTTTGGTGGGCATTGACTTTGAGTTTGGAAGTTGTAGTTCACCTAAAACATCCAGAGAGCACTGTGGACTCAAACAATGATGGATTGAGTGGCACAAGCACTCAATATGCCCAAATATGAACACAGATGGAGTTTGGGGAAAATGCGCATTTAAAGTTTTTGACATTTGGGAGTTGTAGTCACTGGGATTCACAGTTCACCTACAATCAAAGAGCATTCTGAACCCCACAAATGACAGAATCAGGGCAAACTTCCCACACAGAACCCCCATGACCAACAAAAAATACTTAAGGCCATTCAATCCAACTCCCTTCATCAGGGCAAGAAAACATAATCAAAGTCCTCCTGACAAAGAGCCATCGAGCCATAGATATAAATAGATAGATAGATATGATTCACACACACACAGATATAGTATCATAGGTTTGAAAGGGACCCTTAAAGAAGGACAATGATATGTTGCATGTTCCAGGGTGGGCAAACCAGACACTCTCCATATCAACACTGACAAAGAAACAGCAAAAAATACTGTTTACCCACAAGCATAAAGAAATTACAGATATTAGAAACCAACACTTTCTCATTACTTTATTTTCCAGATCAACAGACTGGGCCACAGCAACGCGTGGCAGGGGACAGCTAATAATAATAATAATAATAATAATAATAATAATAATAATAATATTTATGTATTTATTTATTTATTTATTGTGTCAGGAGCAACCAGACAGTTGTATTACATTTTTAACAAAACAAACAAACAGACAAAACACAAAGTTTGCAAGCTTGGTAGTTGATTAAGTGTCCTTTGACCAGTATCTGACCACTTGGAGTGCCTCTGGTGTTGCTGCAAGAAGGCTCTCCATTGTGCATGTGGCAGGGCTCAGGTTGCATTGCAGCAGGTGGTCAGTGGTTTGCTCTTCTCCACACTCACATGTCGTGGGTTTCCATTTTGTAGCCCCATTTCTTAAGATTGGCTCTGCATCTCGTAGTGCCAGAGTGCAGTCTGTTCAGCACCTTCCAAGTCGCCCAGTTTTCTGTGTGCCCAGGGGGGAGTCTCTCATTTGGTATCAGCCATTGATTGAGGTTCTGGGTTTGAGCCTGCCACTTTTGGACTCTTGCTTGCTGAGGTGTTCCAGCGAGTGTCTCTGTAGATCTTAGAAAACTATGGGCTAATCATTTTCAAAGGCCTGCTGGAATCATTTTCAAAGGCATGTGGAAGAAGGATAGTGACGGAGCTTATCTCATCTCTCTGGGGAGGGTGTTTCAAAGGCCTGCGGGTACAACCGAGAAGGCCCTCTCCCTTGACCCCACCAACTATGCTTGGGATGGAGGTGGGAGCAAGAGGAGGTCCTTTCGATAGATCCAAGAGACCAGGAGATGCAATCACGGAGATCGGCAGGGTCCAAATCATTTAGGGCTTTGTAGTTCATAACCTGCACCTTGAGTTATGATTCCATTTTAATTATCATGGTTCATTGGAATCCTGGGATTGCTAGTTTAGGGAGATGTAATGTCAAAGGCTTTCATGGCCAGAATCACTGGGTTGTTGTAGGTTTTTTCAGGCTATATGGCCATGTTCTATAGGCATTCTCTCCTCTACAGAATGCCTCTAGAACATGGCCATATAGCCCAAAAAAACCTACAACAACCCAGTTTAGGGAGAGACATCTTCAGCCACAGAGCTCCAGTGCCTCCAGTGCTGTAAAGAACATTACAGCACTATTATTCTTCGATGTGAATGGACCCCAGCAACTACAACTCCCAAATAACAAGTTTATTTTCCCCAAAACTCCACCAGGTTCACATTTGGGCATATTGAGTATCAGTGCCAAGTTTGGTCCAGATCCATAATTGTTTGAGTCCACAATGCTCTCTGGATGCAGGTTAACTACAACTCCAAAACTTAAGATCAATGCCCACCAAACCCTTCCAGTATTTTCTGTTGGTCATGAGAGTTCTATGTGCCAAGTTTGGTTCAATTCCATCATTGGTGGAGTTAAGAATGCTCCTTGATTGTAGGTGAACTATAAATCCCAGCAACTACAACTCCCAAATGACAAAATCAATCTCCCCATCCCCATCAGTATTCGAAATTGGGCATATCAGGCATTTGTGCCATATTTGGTCTAGTGAATGAAAATACATCCTGAATATCAGATATTTACACTGCGATTCATAACAGTAGCAGAATCACCGTTGTGAAGTAGCAACGAAAATAATTGTATGGTTGGGGGTCACCACGACATGAGAAACTGTATTAAAGGGTCGTGGTATTAGGAAGGTTGAGAACCACTGCATTAGGCTGACTGATCTTGATCAAGGCCTTGTCTTTAAAAGCCCAGATAGAATCATCCTATTTGTAAATGAAAAAAAGTGTTGAAATACTGTACTAGAACAATGAACTGACAACGTTTGATGTTATTTAGAGACTCAGACAGGAACCATTTCCAGTAGTGTTTGGCTTGCATCCACATCTTTAAAACAGTAAATAATGTCGGAGGAAATTATAGCGTTGGAAATTAGCTTCGAGGTTGAGCCAAATTTAGTTCCAGGGCTGACTTCATTGGAATTGTGCTCAGTGACATCATGTCTAAATATATGCCATCTCTTTCAAGTGCTCAAATGCCATGAAGTCTGCAAAAGGCAATAAAGCGAATACATAAAGATTGGGGGAAGATTTATTTTGACAGCTGTAAAGCAGAGGTCTCTGCATTCGATCTTAGGTAGCAGCAGGACATTATGGCAAAGGCTGCTGCTTTAGACCTAAGGCACAGTGTCATAAGATGGTGAATTACATATTACGTCTCAATGTTTTTGCTTGCTGGGATGTTTTATTTCCTTTTGATTGCATGGTTACGTTGTAGAGCAAAGGGAGATGTAGTTAAATTCACATACTGACAAAAAATGAATCAGGAGAACATTTGGTTCCTCCTTTCAATCAACCCATATTTGATTTTGTCCAGCACTGCGCCCTATTCTTAACTAACCCAAGTGACAAGCCGTGGAGCAGGAATGGGCAAACTTTCTAACTTGTGCTGCTAGGAAGACTGGCTGCCCGGTGATGGAAGGAAGGAAGTAAAGGAGGAAGGAAAGAGAGCAGAAGGAAGGATGAAAGGGAGAAATGGAAGGGGAAAGGGGGAAAGGGAATGAGAGAGGAAAGAGGGAAGGAAGGAAAGACAAAAGGGAAGGAAGGAATGATGAAAGGGTGGAAGAGAAGGATGGAAGCAAGGAAGGGAAAGAGGAAGGAAAAAGAGAATGAAGGAAAGACAAAAGGGAGGGAGGAAGGGAAGGAAGGGAATCATAAAGGAAAGAGATAAGGAAGGAAAGAGAAAAAGGAAGGAAGGAAGGAGAAAGAAGGAGAGAGGGAACGAGGGAGGAAAGAGGTAAGGAAGGAAAGACAGGAAGGAAGGAAGGAAGGAAGGAAGGAAGGAAGGAAGGAAGGAAGGAAGGAAGGAAGGAAGGAAGGACAGGAGAGAGGGAGGGAGGGAGGGAGGGTGGAAGAGAAGGATCGAAGCTATGAAGAGAAGGAGAAAGGAAAAAGAGAAGGAAGGAATGGTGGAAGGGAAGGATAAAGGAAATAAAGACAAAAAGGAAGGAAGGAAGGAAGGAAGTCGAAAGAAAGAGGGAATGTGGGAGGAAAGAGGGAAGGAAGGAAAAAGACAAGGAAGGAAGAGGATGGAAGGAAGGAAGGGAAGAGTAAAGGAAAGACAGAAGGGAAGGAAGGGTGGAAAGGAAGGAAATAAAGGCAAAAAGGAAGGAAGGAAGGAAGGCGAAAGAAAGAGGGAATGTGGGAGTAAAGAGAGAAGGAAGGAAAAAGACAAGGAAGGAAGAGGATGGATGGAAGGAAGGAAGGGAAGAATAAAGGAAAGACAGAAGGGAAAGGAAGGGAAGGGAAGGGAAGGGAAAGGAAGGGAAAGGAAGGGAAAGGAAGGGAAAGAGGGAGAGAGGGAAGGAAGGATGAAATGGTGGAAGGAGAAAGAGGGAGAAAAGGAGGAAGGAAAGCGAGAAGGAAGGAAGGATAGGATGATCAGAGAGAGAGGAGGGCCTGAGAAAAGAGCCCAAGGGGCCACATCCGGCCCCCGGGCCTGGGTTTATCCATACCTGCCATAGTGTGTGCAGTAGCACAGAGAGTGTGCTTTAAAGGGCAAAGTTATTTCTGTTTTGAAAGATATGACACAAGACAAATAATCATTTTCTTTTTTAAAATAGACAACACTGCAAGTATTTATGCAAAGCGGACAAGCTTCAACCACCAGATCCAAGAGATGTACCGCCTGCCTATTGTGATCAGCGATGGGGGAAGCCCTCCACAGAGCAGCACCAACATGTTCACCATTCGGGTTTGTGGCTGTGATGGAAATGGCGTTTTGATCTCTTGCAACCCAGAAGCCTACACCCTTAATGCTGGACTTAGCACTGGGGCTCTCATTGCAATCCTTGCTTGCATTGTGATATTATTAGGTAAGCAAATCTCAGTGTTTTCCTCCTCTTTTTTATGGATCTCCTGCTGCTACTACTACAGAATAAAATGCTCAGATTAACAAAATGTAGTTGTAATTCCTGCTTAAATCAGTGGAAGAATCTCGCAATCAGTAGATAAATGGTTAATTTGAAGAGGAAAGGTAAAGCACTTGTGACACTTGTATGGAGATTTTTTTATTTTTAATTAAATTTCCACATTATATACAACATCATATTAGAGAAACAAATCAGTCTAAAATTTAGCCTTAAGAGAAGACACGAATATTAAAGGGGCGAAAATTGGGAAAATACGAATACAAAATTAGAGCCTTCGCAGATGACATACTGGGAATAGTGGTGGACCCAATAAACAAATTACAATTTTATGTAAATATTCAAAAACATTTCACCTCCTAATGCCTCAATTAATGTAATTTTATTGTTATCTATTTCTATTTTGAAATTTACCAGTAGTGATTGCATTTCCCACCCTCGGCTTATGCTTGAGTCAATATGTTTTCCCCAGGTTTTTTGTGGTAAAATAGAACGTTGGATAAGCAAAAATGTTGGATAATAAGGAGGGATTAAGGAAAAGCCTATTAAACGTCAAATTACATTATGATTTTACAAATTAAGCACCAAAACATCATGTTTTACAACAAATTGACAGAAAAAGCAGTTCAATACACAGTAACATTATGTAGTAATTACTAGGGCTGGGTAACCACGGAAAAATTTGTTTCTAAACTCGATTCGTTTTTAGGGGGTTTTTGCGTTTCGTTTTTTAAAAGAATTCCGAATTTTTTCTTTAAAAAAGTTCGAAATATACGAAATTTCGTAAATTACGAAACAATTACGAAACAATTACGAATCGATTCGTTAATGGCGGGCGCGATTGCGCAATACGCTAAAAAACCCGCCAAATGGGACAGGGGGAACTTCTGAAGCTTCCCTCTCCCTCTGTTGTTGACTGTTGGTGTGATAATTTATTTTTTTTATCACTGATAAAACAAACAACAACTATAAAACTTGCACCAGACATACGGAAATAATAACGAAACAATTTCGAAACAATTTCGAAACAATTACGAAACAATTACGAAATAAATTGAAAAATTCGTTTCAATTTTTAGTTGCTCCTGAATGGTTCAATATCGGATCGTAAGCTAATTTAAATACGAATCAATAACGAATTACGAAATTAACGAACGAAACCGCCCAGCCCTAGTAATTACTGTATTTGATGAATTTAGCACCAAAACAGACAAGGGTTCTTTCTTTCTCCAACCTTGGACATAATTCTGTTGGATAATATAAAATGTTGGATGAGCAGAGGTTGGAAAAGCGAGACTCTACTGTATCTAGAATTAACTCAATTTCACAAAGAGGTCAAATATTTCATTGTGTGCCTCTTTAAAAAATAAAAATAAAATAACTATCTCATTTTTTTCACCAGTGATTGTCGTGTTATTTGTAACACTAAAGCGCCAGAAGAAAGAACCTCTGATTGTTTTTGAAGAAGAGGATGTCAGAGAGAATATTATTACGTACGATGACGAAGGCGGAGGGGAAGAAGACACTGAAGCCTTTGACATTGCTACTTTGCAAAACCCTGACGGCATCAATGGATTTATTCCTCGCAAAGACATAAAGCCGGAGTATCAATACATGCCGAGGCCAGAGCTTCGGCCAGCTCCAAACAGCGTTGACGTTGATGACTTTATCAACACAAGGATACAAGAAGCGGATAATGACCCAACAGCACCTCCATATGACTCTATCCAGATCTACGGCTATGAAGGAAGAGGCTCAGTGGCTGGTTCACTTAGCTCCTTAGAGTCAGCGACGACAGATTCGGATTTGGACTATGACTATCTACAAAATTGGGGACCTCGTTTTAAGAAACTAGCAGACTTGTATGGCTCCAAAGACACTTTTGAAGATGATTCTTAACAATAAAATTACAAATTTGGCCTTAAGAACTGTGTCTAATGTTCTGAGAAAAACAAATCAGAGGAAATGTAAGCAGGTATTTTTTTTTATTAAACAAGAAAACAGTGAAAGGCTCATATCTAGTTTGGTGAGGATGGGAGGATGCCCTTTAATGTCAAAGGGACATGAAAAGTGGTCTATACTGTGACGTACCCTTTTGATGCAAAAGTATTCAACTTCACTAAAAAAAAAGGGGGAAAAGAAAATAACCACTTCTCTAATACAAAAAGAAACCTATGGAATGGGAAAGTCTAAACATCATCCTAGAATTGAAGGCAATCTTTTTTGTGTATTATGAAAAATTAAGTCTTTTATGTCAAAGAAGCTTCCACAAATTAGAAAGGATAACAGTTCCGAGCTGTAATTTCGCCTTAAACTATGGACACTCCCTATGTAGTGCATTTTTAAACTTGAAATATATACTATTCAGCCAGCTTAAACACATATGATGTATGTACAGGACAATGTACAATTATAATGTCTCTCTGAGCATCCAACTTGTTTCTGCTGACTCTTGTAAATCTTTTTTGCTTATACTTTCATCTTAATCTAATACGTGCCAGATATAAAACGCTGTCTTGTTAAAGTGGGAGGCGCCCTATTTCTATGTCATTTTTAAATGTATCTATTTGTACAATTTAAAAGTTCTTATTTTTAGTATACATACAAATATCAGTATTCTGACATGTAAGAAATGCTACATCACACTTATATTTTATGAACATTGTACTGTTGCTTTAATATGTGCTTCAATATATGAAGCAGACTTTGAAATAAAAAGGATTCTCTTTTTTAAACTCCTGTTTAGTTTATTAAACGTATGAAAGGCAAACATTGTTTCTAAAGCCCAATTTGTATTATGATATGACTCCATATTGATGTTTTTCTAGCTACCAGCTTCAGTTTTTATAGCTGTTGATGTTATATATGTGTAGGTAATACAGCTTGTTGTTGTTGTTGTTCATTCGTTCAGTCGTCTCCGACTCTTCGTGACCTCATGGACCAGCCCACGCCAGAGCTCCCTGTCGGCCGTCACCACCCCCAGCTCCTTCAAGGTCAGTCCAGTCACTTCAAGGATGCCATCCATCCATTTTGCCCTTGGTCGGCCCCTCTTCCTTTTGCCTTCCATTTTCCACAGCATAATTGTCTTCTCTAGGCTTTGCTGTCTCCTCATGATGTGGCCAAAGTACTTCAACTTTGTCTCTAGTATCCTTCCCTCCAATGAGCAGTCAGGCTTTATTTCCTGGAGGATGGACTGGTTGGATCTTCTCGCAGTCCAAGGCACTCTCAGAACTTTCCTCCAGCACCACAGTTCAAAAGCATCTATCTTCCTTCGCTCAGCCTTCCCTAAGGTCCAGCTCTCACATCCGTAGGACAGCTTGTTAAAACAATTGTTTAAATCGGTTTTTCTCAACCTTCCTAATGCCGCAACCCCTTAATACAGTTCCTCACATTGTGGTGAGCCCCAACCATTAAATTATTGTATTGTTGAAGGCTTTCATGGCCGGAATCACTGGGTTGTTGTAGGTTTTCCAGGCTATATGGCCATGTTCTAGAGCAGTGATGGGCAACCTTTTGAGCGTGGTGTGTCAAAATTCGCCAAAAAACTGAGCATAATTCAGGTGGTGTGTCACTTCAAGAAAAAAAAACATAATTTTGCAATATTTAGTTTAAATAACAAAAAATATATAATTGCAATTCCCACTTTCTCTCTTATCATGTTGTTCTACCTCTCTTTATGTAAATAATATCCTTTTTGGAGTGTTTAAAAAAATATACTTTTAAAAACCCAACAAAATATTATTTTTAATTTAATTTAAATGTATTTCTAGCATTTAATATGCTATTTAATGTATTTCTAATAATAATAATAATAATAATAATAATAATAATAATGCAATAACAATAAAGTAACATTGCAAAATAATATTTTGATATTTAATTTACATTTCATTTAAGGCATATATATATATATTAAGGCATATATTAAAAATATTTAAAATGCATTAAATTAAAATGCATTAAATTAAATGTCAAATTAAAATTCAATTTACCATTTCATTTAAGGCATTCTGAAATATTTGAGTAATATAGCAAAGTATTATTTATCATTTAATTTAATTTAAATATGTAACTCCTTAATATTAGGAAACAATGCAAAATAATATTTGTTTACTTAATAATTAAATAAACCAATATTATTTTGCAATGTTACCTAAATATTAACAATTAAATATTTTTAAATTTGACATTTAATTTAATGCATTTTAATATTTGAATAATATAGCAAAGTAATAGTATGAGTTTAAATATGAAACTCCTTAATATTTAGGTAACATTGCAAAATAATAATTTCTTTCCTATTTATTTTTTAAAATGGCATAAAATAAATAAACAAATAATATCCGGCGGGTGCGTGTCATAGGTTCGCCATCATGGTTCTAGAGGCATTTTCTCCTGACGTTTCGCCTGCATCTATGGCAAGCATCCTCAGAGGTAGTGAGGTCTGTTGGAAGTAGGAAAATGGGTTTATATATCTGTGGAAAGACCAGGGTGGGACAAAGGACTTTTATCTGCTGGAGCTAGGTGTGAATGTTTCAACTGACCACCTTGATTAGCATTTAATGGCTTGGAAGTGCCTGGGGGAACAAAATCTGGCTACCAGTATTAAAAAACTCAAAAATTACAACAGCAAAACAACAGAGAGTAAACAATCAGGCACATCAAATCACCTCTCAAAGAAAGATTCCCTGCTCCGCTTCCACATCCGAGCACTTCCGGCTGGGGCACTCTATCCCCGAGGCATTGCCCTGCCTTCACCCTTTGAGTCCCTGTGGTTAGTATTCTAGGTGTCTAGTGCCGTGCCAGACGGGTAACAGTAGGAAACTCCATATTATCTTACATTTTTGTTTATCCAACGTTCTACCAACCCATTTATGCTGGATAAGCAAGACTCTTCTGTATGTTACTTGATGTTAATGAAGTAGATTTTCCATCCTTTTCTGGATCACATGTTTATATCTACATCTTTATTTATTTATTTATTTCCGGTACGTTTACCCCACCCTTCTCAACCCCCGAGGGGGGACTCAGGGCGGCTTACAAAAAGGCACAATTTGATGCCTATACAGTTACACATAATATACAATCATAGTTAAAACAATTATCACAGTTAAAATAAACGAAACAATCAATATACAACACATCATATAGAAACTATTCATATGCTCAGCATTCGTCTTTCCGGGTTCCAATTCCATTCCAGTTTGACATTTCCCGGACATTGTCACATCCTTTCTTTACCTGCCCGATTGTCCAAAAGCCTGGTCCCAAATCCATGTTTTTAGTTTTTTTCCTGAAAGAGAGGAGTGAGGTCGCTGATCTAATTTCCCCGGGGAGTGAGTTCCACAGGCGGGGGCTACCACCAAGAAGGCCCTGCTCCTCGTCCCCGCCAGCCTCACTTGTGATAGAGGCGGGGTCGAGAGCAGGGCCTCCCCAGCCGATCTTAAACTCCGGGGTGGCCAATTCTGGGTTACAAATACCTTTTTAAAAAAAATAAAATCTCAAAGTTCTGTGATGCAAAACTTTTTAAAAACATTGTAGCTATTTTTGTGTATTTTTTGGTACAGAATTCGGAAATAACCCAATAAAAATACTGTGTTACACAGCGTTCTTCCACAAATGTCAGCAGCAATTTCAATATTAACTTCAGTCAGTTCTTCAAACATAAATATGCCAAAGCAAGTTGTGAAAAGACTATCTGTGATGGAGCAGATCTGTTGTCATTTCTGGATGTAGAATGCAAACTCCTATATGACCAACATACATTTTTTAAAAGTTTGTATGACCCTCAATTTTGTAAGCTTGTGAATTGAATAATTTCCTTAATACTGTATTATGAATTTGCAATATAAGTAGATATGTAGTTAAGTTTGTTCAACCGGTAGCTTGTCAACATAGGCTGAATAGCCCACACTGACCATGAAATTGCTGCTGGCTGCCTTCATTGCTTCAAGGGACTTCCAGTTCTTACTGTGGTGGCTCCACATTAAGGAAAGTCTGGGGATATTCTAAACTTTGCTCGACACTCCAGAGCAACTCCATGGTTTGGGCACAGTGTAGACTAGGGCCGGGTGGTTTCGTTCGTTAATTTCGTATTTCGTTATTAATTCGTTATTTTTTTTTATAACGAAGCGATATTGAACCATTCAGGAGCAACTAAAAAACGAAACGAATTTTTCCAATTCGTTTTGTAATTGTTTCGTAATTGTTTCGGAATTGTTTCGTTATTATTTCCGTATGTCTGGTGCAAGTTTTATATTCGTTGTTTGTTTTATCAGTGAAAAAATAAATTATCACACCAACAGTCAACAACAGAGGGAGAGGGAAGCTTCAGAAGTTCCCCCTGTCCCATTTGGAGGGTTTTTTAGCGTATTGCGCAGTCACGTCCGCCATTAACGAATCGATTCGTTATTGTTTCGGAATTGTTTCGTAATTTCCGAAATTTCGTAAATATCGAACTTTTTAAAAGAAAAAATTCGGAATTCTTTTAAATAACAAAACGCAAAAACCCCCTAAAAATGAATCGAGTTTAGAAACAAATTTTTCCATGGTTGGACAGCCCTAGTGTAGACAGCATGAGTAGGTCCAATGTGGACCAGCCCACTGTCCACTTGGTGCTGCCCCTGCCTCTCCCTTTTCCCTCCAGTGTTTAGAGCAAAGAAAAGAGGATAAGTCAGACCTGTGTTGCCATTCCTGCTGCCAGATAGCTGCAGAGCTGAAGAAGAACTCCTCGCTATCTCAGGCATCAGCATAGGCATCTCCATGACGAGGGGACAATCACCTCTCTTCTTCCTAGCCATGTGGGCACCTATACAGATTTAAGAACAAGGTGTTCATGATGGTCAAGAGCATTCCTGGAACTCTGTGACTGTCCAGTTGTGACAGTGGCAGGGATAGCAAGGTGACAGGACTGGTAAGGTGTAGATACCACCCACCACTGTGCATTGGGGATTGAGTGTGTGGCTCCCTCTTAGGCCTCTAGAGTCAGTCCATTACTGGCTGTCTAGAATAACCCCAAGAAGAAGAGAGGGAGAGAAAGAAAAGTGTGTGTGTGTGGGGGGGGGGAGAGAAATAGCTTATTTTCCATAAACAATTTTCTATCAATTCTAAAAAGGATCTATCCATAAATGAAATCCTGGATTGGTTCAGAGGAGATTATCTGTACAATCCAAATGCTGGTATAAATTGGCTAAAACTCCCCATCCACTAGTAAAATATAACGCCACTAGTATATGTGCTGTCAGAAGAAGGTTCCTGCTATAGTTGTGGAAAGCTACAATAATAATAATAATAATAATAATAATAATAATAATAATAATCTTTATACCCCGCCACCATCTCCCCAAAGGGGGACTCGGGGTGGCTAACATGAAGCCAAGCCCACAGTAGACTCTACTGTATACTTAATTTAAGTTGACAGTGTCTTCCATTTTCCTAGATTGAGGGATACTCTACTACTCAAATATTAATGAGTGTAATATTCATAGCAACAGAAAGATATTTGTTCCAAATATTATAATAATACTTAGCTGAAATTTCTCTTTTTGTTGTTGTTATTTCACACTTATTTTTATAACCCAAGGAAAAATGTGCTATATGCCCATGCTTCTCCAATATGGAGTATTTTTGAATTAGCTGTTTATATTAACGTGTAGAAGAAAAGTAAATCAGCTGCTAAGTTGCCATTTTCTTTCATTATCCTTTCCATAATCTTTGCTCTCAAGATTTTCACTTT